TTTATAAAAAAAAAAAATTATGCAAAGATGTTTATCAACAAGCACTACTTTATATAGAACATTTCTCATATGGCATGTGTTTAAAAATAGCAAGATATTCCAGACCAGATTCCTTCAAGGCTGAGGGGAGACTAATTGTTAAGATATTGGAACCTTCTATTAATGTCTAATACACTAGAATCAGAAATCAATATAGATAGAAGATATTTTTAGAAGACTAAAAATAGAATACTCTAGCATACTCTAGATGCTTTCCACAGAGCCCACCACTCTGAGTTAACCAAAATCTAATAAGTAGGAACTAAATAGGGGTAGGAATAGTTTTGTGTGGAGGAAACTTTATGATTGATTACTCTATTGAAAAGTCAGAGTCCACAAATCGGTGATTTGTCTTTCATTTGTTTTTCTGAGATTAAATTTCACATATATATTCCTCACAGTCATCTATAAAGTGAGAGGTTTCTAAGTGATCTCTCAGGTCCCCTTTCTTCTCTGTTATTCTGTTATTCTATAAATTACAATAAGCTTGACTAAGAATAAATTCTTAGCTTGACTAAGAATAAAGTCCTCAGGGGCAATTAGTGCTGTTCAAAAATTAAGTCATCTCCCTTGTTGGAAGTGAGTTCCTTGGAGCTAAGTTGAACAGAAATTGGATCAGCAACCAGGACAGTCTTTCTCAGAGGATTCTGTAGCAGGTGAGAAACTGAATTCATAATTGCATTATGCCCCTTCTGAGCTTCTGCATTCAATGGTTGCAATGTGCCATAGTATGAGGCACTTTCACACAGGAACAGTGATTTTGCTTCCAGTTTACTTTTGTTTTCAGAACCTTCTAACACTGCTGACCCACTGAGAAGGATGCTCTACAAGGACTCCAAATTCCTTTCCTGGTTTCTAAGTGAAACCAGGTTTCTAACTAATTCAGATCCCCACAATTTTATAAGTTTAGTCTGGTTTCTTTTCACTAAATGAGTAACACCTCTCACAGTACTGGCTCCTCCCTGCCACCTTCTTGTCCATTTACACTATCTTTCAAAAGTTTATTTGGGTTGATTTATAATTTCACTAGCCAAAAGAGCTTAATTCTGCATCCTTAGAAATTTCATTGTGTACTTGCTCTTTCAGATTATCTATAAAAATGTTTAATAAAAAGGACCAGCAGAAATCCCCAGAGGAACCTCACTGTTTACACGTCTCCATCAACAGCAGGCTCACACATTCCACTTTTTGTTTCCTCTATTAATACCTATGTGTGACAAAATATTCCTCCTAATTCCATGGTAACACTATTTGGAATAGCTTTGTTGTGAAACTCAACTGACTCCTTAAAACTCTCTCTAAACAAATCATGTTTGTTGCTTTTCTCTTGGTGTTTGTTTACTCTTTCAAACAGCTCAAGCACATTATAGAAAACAGGATGCTTTCCTCCATTCATTACACAAAGTGGTCAATGATCCTACAATTTTGACAGGTTATCAATATGAATAAGATTCAACAGTCAATAGATTATAGGGTCTCCTCAGAAGATCTCCGAAGAATGGAAGCAAAGTGGAATTGTGAAGAGTTAGCACAATGATTTATTTCACATATAGGTCATATAGGTTCATTTATTCCCTTGACCTTCTTCAGACCCTTAGAATGAATGTCATAAAGTTTCAGCAATTTCCTTATATCCAGCATTCCAATCAGGCAGAACATCCTGTTCCCTTGCCACTATTTGATCTAATACTACATATCTCACCTCTTTGCTTCAAAAGACATGATGACAGTGGAAATTTCTACATTTCAACAAAGACCAAAGCAAAGAATTCACTGCGTCTCCAGATCTCCTTTCTTCCCCGAGAGCACCCTGATCATCAAGCTGTCCCATTGATTCTCCAGTTGAGCTTCTGCCTTTCATGTATGAAAAAGCTTTTATTTCTGGATTGCAGTCCCTTTTGTGCTGTTTCTTGAACTCCTTTATAGCCTGACTGGCTTCTTATTTACACCTAACCTGTCACACTTTGAGGTCTTCCCTGTTCTCACTTGAACAATCTTTTGCCTACTTTTCCCCCACTTTCACTTCTCTTACTTTATGAAATGGATGCAAAAGTTTTTATATGAGCTCCTAATCTTTAATGTGACATATTTCCTTGCCCTTCCATTAATGTGTTTAAAGCATTTCCAGATTTCCTACAAGTTACAGACTTTTTAAAATATTACTTTCAATTTTAACTTAATGCACACATTGATTTGATCATAGTTCCTTTCTGTAAAACTGAGTAATAATGTGATGGGATTTTTTATTCCTTCTTTCCCCTTCAGAAGGTTGAACATAACTGAGTTGTGAGCATTACTGCAATGGTCACAGATTATTTCGTGCACCAATTCCTGTGTAGTCCTAGACCAAAATCCAGTATAATTCTACTATTTCCTTAATTCTCAGACTTCTTATACTACGAAGTAGATTTTTGTATGTGATCTTGTATATTATCTTCTTCCAGTCTTAGGGTATGATTTCCTTCATACCACTATTTGATCTAATTTTCCTGTGTTCTCAAAATAACTTTACTATCTTTACCCCATTTGTTTGATCTTTGCTAGAAAATCCTAACCTAGGGTCGGGGATGGGCTCCAGGATATCTGAGAAGCTCCTGAAATAATACACAAAATCATGCATGTATATGGATATGTGCGCTTTTCTGAGAAAGTATTCCATAGCTTCCATCGGTTACTCAAAAGAATTATAAGCAACAAGAAAGTTTAGGAGCCATGTTCCATAGTAGCACTAAATATATTACTTACTGAGTATAAATTTCTCATCCACAAAAAATTTATTTGCCCAGCATTATTTTGTACATTTTTGTTAACTATTTTTATTATATTTCCTTGGTTTTCATCATTTCCTTATACAAAATGTTATAATTCATCCACTCCTGATGTTTCCATAGATTTAATAACCCAATGAATAGTACCAGTTTCCACTAGCTTCTACTGGTTTTCTCCTTCTACTAAGACTAAGAAAGGAAAATGAAATCTGGATCCTTAGTTGTTACCAATCATTCCATCCATTTTTTTTTTATGCTTCTAAATTTTATATATCCAATACAGGGAGCTTCATTTTTTCTACAAAACTGTCAATTTTCTGTCTGGATGGATGAATTACTTTGCCACCCCCAACACACCATCCTCGTCCAGCACACCACTGAACCCTCTTTTCCTTTCACTTCTTCCTCCACAGCCCACTACCATAACTCTAGCAAGGTCTGTGTCAAATTGGATCTCATGCTTCCTCTGCACTTATCAACTTTCTCCCAATTTTTAGGTTAAACCCTGAACTGCCACTTAACAGATTCACTACACACAGAGCTCATTTTTCTGGCCCCCCACATTAACACAACACCTCAATGCACCATTATATTTGCTGAACAAACCTCAGATTCTTTTGCAGTCTACACAGTAACACCATTATAAGTTTTGTTCCCTACCCCCAGCTTCTTTGAACTAGGATTGAACTTACTGATTTGATTCCTACAAGGGAAACAAGAATGAAATGGTAGGGAAAAAAGAATGCTCCACACCCCTTTTAAGGTTTTTTGAGAAGCACTTAAAACAATTGCCAAAACATATCTTAAAATTAATTGTGTGAAAACAAAAAATCCAATGTAGATTCCAAAAGTCTAGGAAGAAAAATAAGTTTATTTTTAAAATACATAATACTCACAATTCTTTAATATTTCATATCATCTTCTAATTTGAGAGCACATTTAATACATTTTTCTTCATCAACATTATCAAAGGAAGCCATAGGGCTACTTGTGATGGATATTCAAGGACTCTTACCAAGATGTTTTCAGGATGAAAGATCTCTTCAGACTTCCTTTCAGTAGCTTTCCAAGGCTGCTGCTAAACTGGTAATGTTCCAGTGACCTCAAGGTGTGAATTATTCAAAGGCTAGAGGTACTCTCAGAACCAAAAAAAAAGGTTATTGTAAAGTAGTAAATATAATAAAGAGTAGTCGATCTGTAAATTATGTTGCAAATATTCCCTGAGATTGGGCAGTTTGCGTCTCAGAGTTTGTTTCTATTTAGAAATAAAGTTAAAATTGGTAATTGGGATCATAGGCCAGCCTGTGATAGGACTATACTAACAACACTAACCATGATAACAATTCTATTGAGTTTGATCACTATTTTAAAAACTGAAGGAATTTTTCATGGAAAATCACAATATGGGTTATAAGGATAACTTCTGTTCCTGTTGCTGTTCTAGGATCAACATGCTCCCCTACGACTCTACTATCCTACTATGTGCTCCCCATCAAGCCACCACCTCACCGTGTACACATCTGCCAGGCAGAGGGAAAGGAAGACTCCTCATAAAGTGGAGCTCTCCCCGATAGAGAAACTATAGAAGCAAGGACTCCGCCATAGGTGTTGGACTAGGTTATAACAGCTAAGAGATGGGGATAAGAGCAACAGGTTTGGAGTCTCTGGGATGGGTCCGATAATGGCAACAACAGTCCCACATCTTAAACGCATGCTATGTGCCAGGCTCTAGGCCACATACTGCATACACACTGTCTTGCTGAATCATTACCACAATGCTTGAAGCAAGTATTATGATCCCTATTTTATAAATGAAGAAACTAAGGCTTAATGAAATGAAGCAATGTGCCCAAGGTCTGTCTGACACAAAAACCTGTGCTCTTAAACAACACATCTAAATATGCTGCTATCTCTGGCAACTTCTTGAGTCTCAGCAGCAATTATTAAAAGAGAAAGGGAAAACAAAAAAGACTTTAAGGGCGGCGCCTGCGGCTCAGTGGGTAGGGCACCAGCCTCCTATACCAACAGTGGCGGGTTCAAACCTGGTCCCAGCCAAACTGCAACAAAAAAATTGCTGGGCGTTGTGGAGGGCACCTGTAGTCCCAGCTATTTGGGAGGCTGAGGCAAGAGAACTGCCTAAGCCCAGGAGTTGGAGGTTGCTGTGAGCTGTGTGACACCACGGCACTGTACCGAGGGCAATAAAGTGAAACTCTGTCTGTACAAAAAAAAAAAGAAAGAAAGAAAGAATGAAAAAGGACTTCAAAGCTTAGAAATAAATATTACGGTCACCTTAATTATTTTGAACAAAAGAAAATTATTTTTAATCTAAAACCATATTGTTTTCAAATCAATAAACTAATTTTAACTAAAATCACTCCAACTAAATATTTTTCATTCACTTAGTAATATTATAAATTAAATGCCCCTCCTACAACCAGAAGAAGAAATATATATCCTCACAAAATACACAAGCATACACACACACACCTGCTACTTTATGACTTCTTTACTGTCCTTGTTAACTGAAACAGATGAAAAACCACATCAGACATACAGAGAGGAGGGTTTTTCAAGAGCTTGATTTATTTCAAGAACTAACTTCTCTCAAGCTGGGCATCTGGCAAAAAAATTGAATCTTCTAAAGCATAGTCCTTATTTTTACCCTTTTCACCCGTCTTTCCTAATATGCAGACTTAACTAGTTGTTCACAGGACCTTTCCTAGGGAACTCATACATCTCTGAAAGCATATCATCTCCCTCAGGATATTACTTTACCTGTAAATGTCCCTATATTCATCTTCATGGCTGAAACTAACTCCTTACAAGATTACACTTGGGATATTGTTTGCTAAGCAGACTCAATCACCTTTATAAAACCAACCTTGAAACAACCCCAAACTCAGAAAGGTCGGCACTTCCTGCAACAATCACACCTTAGAAGCTGATGCTAATTTCAAGATACAGACTTTCTTCCTTCCTGCTTGCAGTGATTTCTACAAAGATCAAAACTGTTCGTTTATTCTGTGTTGCTGTGCTCAGCAGCCCAGGGTGCTGTTCTCTCAGGGAGCCAGTCAGAGAATCTGCAGCGCATTCTCTGTTAAGATTATATAATGACAGATTAATCCATGCAACAAGGAAGACAGTAGGCAGGAGTGTCAACTCCACAAAATGAAAACCGTTCCCAGGAATCTCTCTCCAGGATTTTGAATGATAGATAAAGGTAGTTTTACCTTAAATAATCAATGTGTATATCAGTAGCTCTAAGAATGGGAAGGAAATCATCTAATAATAATGTGATCATGTTCAGGGATTCTTGCAAGTCCCCACTGGAAAAAAAAATGCCATCCCATTACCAGGTTACAAGAGTGACATCTAGTGGACTCATGGTAGAATGACAAAAAAGATTTCAAATGTACTTCAAAGCAGGACTTCTCAGCATCTAACATGAAAACAAATTACCTGGGTATTTTGTTAAAATGCAGACTCTGGTTCAGTAGAATAAAATAGAATCTATTATTTACAACCAACTTCCAGGTGGTGCCAATGTATTGCCAATGCTGCAGGTTCATGGAGCACTCAAAGCAGCCAGGACCTAAAGCACTTTGCACCTGCTTTTATTCTCAGAAGAGAAGAGGCAAGGGACGCTGGTTAAAACTACATCAAGTGAATTACTATTGTGGTTTTTAATACTCATATTTCACAAGCCCCATTCATCAAGCACACTTACCATCTCCTGTATGAGCAGAGTCCCTGAAGCTATATTCCTTTTCCCAAATGTTGGAAGCTTCCTAAGAAGGAAAACTGTTTACTCCACAGGCATATTTATACAAGAATATGATCTGTTCAAGATTCCAACACAGATTCACCTCAGCACCTATAATATCTTCTTGGTTTTCTTTCACTGTTATTATATTACTAATTTGTAACAGATCAAAACTCAGTTCTCTTTCCCCCAGGTAATCTGCACCTGAACAGGGATCCGTCAGGGTATTGTATTAGTGCTAAGCACACCTTCTCAGACTTTCAACAAAATTTGCCATGGACACCCCTAAGAACAGAACAGGATGTGCAACTAGATCCAATTCCAACTGTTTCCAGAATCTAGTCCTGTGTGATTTAATTGAGCCAAAGAAACTTGACCTCCACACAGGTCTGGTTCTTAGCTGTAAAATAACTTGTATGCTCCTCCACAGAGGAGCTCTGCCAGGCCTCAAACAAACTCCTCCCATGGAGGCTTCCATCACAGCTAGAATAAAACCCTTTCTTTGGTTCTAGGTCCACAGTTCTAGAAGCCACAACACTGATTTCCAACACTAAGTAATATCAGTCTCACTTCTCCAAAAACATAGACATACAAATATATGTATGTATATATATACATATATATATATATATTTTTTTTTTTTTTTGGAAACAGAGCCTCAAGCTGTTGCCCTGGGTAGAGTGCCATGGTATCACAGCTCACAGCACCTCCAATTCCTGGGCTCAAGCGATTCTCTTGCCTCAACCTCCCAAGTAGCTGGGACTACAGGCACCAGCCACAACTCCTGGCTATTTTTTGGTTGTAGCTGTCGTTGTTGTTTGGCAGGCCCAGCTCTGGTGTATGTGGCTGGTGCCTTAGCTACTTGTGCTACAGGTTCCGAGCCAATATATATTGAACCCGCCTTTTAGTCCAATAGAGTTCTTCAATACATGTTGATTCATCTAGGACAAATAATCACTTTTAAGCAGTGAAAACCATATTTCAAACAAATAAACAACAAAAGTAGAATTGTTCTGGTTTAAATGGGGTTAGAAACTTTGGAAATCTGTCTACTTAGTTCCTCCCCAGGATGTCCCCTTGCCCATGCCTCCTGAATACTATTCTTCATGCATCAAATATTCCTTCCCACCCAAATTCCGACCCCAGTCTACCAACCTCACAGAAATAGAGTTTCAAAATCAGAAAGTCTGAGTCGCACACAATAGCTAAAACTATCCCAAACTCCTATATTGTTCAAGGATAATACTGTTCTCATTAAATAGATAGACCTAGACAGAGCTATTTCACTATAATTTGACTAAATTATGATTCTAATATGATTTTAGCATATGCAATCAAAGGATTTGTTCAAAAGATGTACAACCTGATTTCCTAAAGGAAATTTGCTTTTAAGTCATAATTAAGGATCCTTGTGATGAGTAAACAACAGAATTGTTTATACCTCTTCAATTGCTCTTGGCAGTCCTAAAGGGGAAATTATGTAGAGGGAAATGTCACATAATTATTTCTCAAAAGTAGGATGAAAATAGAAAATGAAATCAAACACGCAGCATTGCATCATCGGCCTATACAGCATGATGGGCTTAATTCCCCCATCTCGATTAGAATCCCAGTTATACCACTCCATTGTGACCTTGCACAAATTACCTACACTCTCTGCATCTCGGTTTCCTTATCTGAAAGCAGAGATAAAAGCAATACATACTTCAAGGGTTGTTGTGAGGACTGAATTAATATGTGTAAAGTATGTGATACTAGCACATAGTAATCATTCATAAATGTTATCTAATGAATATTATATTAATATAACATTACTAAAAGTAATGACTATTAACATTCCCATCTAACTGAATATCCAAATAGGCATTTGATTCTTTTAGATAATTTGACAAGCACAAAAATCCCAATCACATCAATTCCGCATATATATTTAGAACACAAGAAGAGTTAAGAGGCTAAAGGAATTCCAGATTTACTACTTAAGATCCCATGCCATTCCTTGTGTCCTATTTTACCTCTTTAAGTGAGAAGCATTTAAAGACCTTATTTATCAAATGGAGGCAATTTTGATTTTAAAAATCATAAAAGTTTTTGAATAGGCATAAGTACATTTATTCTTTGTGCAATAGCTCCCCTTGGACTTCATGTTACCTAATTTATCTTAACTTTAGAAATTTTGTTTTAAATCAAAGACAGCCAAACCTTTTCTAAGAAGTAGCCTAGAGGGTGGCCGCTATCATGCCAGTAGCTGGCACATCTGTCCTAATTTTCTCTGCCTCTTGTACTTCCCAGTGGCCTATATTCTTAAGATTGTTTCAAAGTCCTGGTCAATTGGTTCCAAAGTAACCAGGATCTTCAAACAAATATTTAATTTTGTTTTAAGGAGAACCCCAAATACATAAGGGTCAAGGCATACAAATTTTAAGGCAAATATTCAAAAGCCACCTGACTAAAACCTTTAGAAATAAAGGAGCTCAGAGAATTCTGATAATCTATGCCTTAACTTACCAGAAAAAACCAACTTTTAAATATTCTAATTTGTTGTAGTTAATTAATCCAACAGTTTACAGAAAACCCTGAAACATAATCTAGGGGATTTGCTAACACCTGGTCTTTTGTTTCCAATAAATCTCTAGGTAATTTGTTAAATGAGTAAACATTACCAACGGTCTTTGTGATTCTAAGATTATAAGAGCAAGTATTTAAAATATTCTATGTTTCTCTCTCTTTTTAAAACTAAGAAAGAAATCTCCACAATTTTTGCTCTCAAAAGGGTAAATAGGTATCTTTTATAGAGATAGGTTCCAATCTTCTGGGCTTCTTAGAGATTACTTCTGAAAATCATTTTTGTCATATATCATTTTGTTAAGTATGTATCTGTACCATATCTCAACTAACTAGATGATTCATAAACTAGAAGCACTATTCCCTTTACCAATCAAGTGATGTCACTACACATAATTCTCTTCTAACTGCATTTCTTCCAGTCACACTACATTTGGGCAATGGCTCTATGCTACAACTTCTGAAAAAGATCTGAGAAGAGTTTTTAAAAACAGAAAAGTGTCAAAGCATGTTGTCCTCCTTTTCCTCTTTAAAAAATAGGTAAAATAAAATAAAAATCCTATAAAATTAAAGAAATATAGCTATGTATCTTTATTTATCCTCCTCTAAGCTTTCAGAAAGTTTTCATAGAGACTTACTTCATACTTTCATAGAAACTATTATTTACTAAGTCATAATTATTCATTTAACTACAGAAATAATCATAGGAATCACTTTTTACTGAGCACTTACTGGAATCAAGTACTGCATAAAACACTTAGCACCCACTATCTCTTAATTCCTCCAGGTCTGTCTGACTCTCCCATCTGGGACTATTATATTGTATATGGGGCCCTTAAATTCAAAGGCCCAGTTCTTCCTCATTTGGAAGTTTTCAAAACTAAGAGTGCCTATTCCATGAGAGACTCAAGAAATTGTTGTTTAATGGATGTGTCAGGAGTGATTTGAAATCAATGAATTTAAACCATGGTAGATAAAAACCTACATTTGCCCCAGACCTCAGAATTCAAATATAGTTCTATAGTAAGACCACTTATTAGGTTTGGTACCCTCTGGAATCGTAATAAATAGATCATTTGCCAAAAGTTGATAGACACAGATTAGAAGAATCCTAATATCTTCCAGAGAAACAAAAAGACATGCATTTACAATATATCAAACACTGAAAGAACAACTAGTTTTGGACATAGTGGGGAACGAAACAAGATTTGAAATCTTAAAACCATGGTTTCACTCCAGTCTAGGACATAGAAAAGTTGCTTTATATCTCTAACTTTTCCTTTCATCAAAATAAAATAAGAAAGAATTATATATGTATATAAAATATTTCATATATTATGTTATATATATGACACATTTTATAAAATTCTTTTATGTATATATTCTTGTATGTTTATATAAATGTTATATATTTTATATATAATATATGAAACATTTTACATATATATAAAATTCTTTCTCATTTTATTTTGAGATACAACATTCTATATATCAATGTTATATATATATATATCCTAATTACACAATATGTGTTCAATGGTAACCAGCACAATTATTATTACCAATGCATAAGTTAGTTTAAATATGTAATAAAATCATATCCTATTTAAATTGTACCCACATACTTTAGTGAGTGCCTTGCTATGACTATGAGAAAGGAAGGGAAAGGAAGGGGAGGAGAGGGGAGGGGAGGGAAAGAGGAAGGAAAGAGGGACAGGGTAGTTCACATAAGAAGAGAGAAGTACATCACCTAGATTTGACTTTGTTTAAAGTCCTTAATATAGCTTAAAATTTGACTTTTTATAAGACCTTGAGATAGCCTTAAAAAGAAGAAAAAAATTCCCAATGTTACCTAATCTGCCATGATTTAACAGCACTTTGACATTTTCCAAGGAATGATAGCAAAGTGCTGCATCTCTTCACACTCGGGATTTACTGTCTGTCTAAATCTCTGCTTGTGCCAAATTAAATATACAGTATAATGTCCCTACCAGAAATAACATAACACAGCTTCCTGCTCTACTCCTTGGTTGAATAAGTCCAAACTGAAACAAGGAAGATGTTATTTTATTTAATCATTTAAGTAATTGTTTTCTTGGACCTCTTGATTTAGAAGCTACTTCAGAAGAAAAGTTTAGAAGAAATTGCCATGTGAATCATCAGGCCATTTAAAGGAAAAATTCCCTTTGAAAGGCTGAAGAAAGGGCATTAAAAACAGTATTTTCATTAATGAACCACTCACTTAAGTGGACTTCCCCTAGCTATTCACACCCACCAAACTCTTAGGGTCTCTGAATGTTGTAAAAGCTCTTTGTCGGTGAGACACAAATAGCATCTTAGGATAGATGGCGGAATGCTTCCCGCCAGCAAACAGCACTCAAAAATCTTTGCATTAATGTTGTACTATGAAAGCATGGAGAAATTGGATTATAAACTGAAAGAACATGCCCTGGGGTCTAAAAAAAGTTGGTGGGTTTTTTAAGGTAAAAAATGTGATCAAGGGCTATGACAGAGGAGATGAAGTGCAGAAGCCATGCCTTTAGCTAGGCAAAAGACAGAAAGAGACAAGTCATCCCTTGTGACAGGAGAGAAATGTAGTGAATGAACTACATGTGGGCACACACATAGGATTTTATGAAGTATGGTGGAGAAAAGAAGATGCAATCATTTTTAGTGAAGAAACAGGCAAAGTTTTTAGCCAGGGAGGAGGACAGATGGAGAAGATCTGAGGAGGAGAGAGAAGAGGAAGTAGTCATCTCCAAGAGGGAGAAAAGACATTCCATGGGTGAACGGGCAGGATTACTGGGGAAGGGTAAAGAACCACTTGAGAGAGATGGCCACAGACTCAAGAGGGAGACAGTCAGCATGATGGCATGTTTTCTCCTGCCCCTGTCCACTGCTTGCGTGCAGGCATGAATAAATGCAGTAAGTCTAATCAGCATTGGGATTTTTGCCAGGGGAGAACAAAGGCAATGGTATAGTCACTGATAATAATAAAGTCTAGACCTGAAACCTTAGTGTTCCTAATGCAGCACTGACATCATTGGGAAACAGAATCCACATCTTAACAAGATCTCCAAATAATTCACATAACACAGTAAGATTTGAGAAATACCTGAGTAGAAGCCAAGTAAGAATACGAAAAAAACATTAAAAGAGAAAAGATGTTTTTGGGAGGCTAAGGCAGATAGATTGCTTGAGACCAGCCTGAAAAAGAGTTAAGACCACATCTCTACTAAAAATAGAAAAACTAGCCAGGCATGTGGCAGGTGCCTGTAGTCCCATCTACTCAGAAGGCTGAGGCAAGAGAATTGCTAAAGCCCAAGAGTTTGAGGTTACTGTGAGCTACGATGCACGGCACTCTACCCAGGGTGACAGAGAGAGACTCTGTCTCAAAAAAAAAGAGAGAGAGAGAGAGGGGAAATGAAAGAAATGAGATGCCACGCTGTTGCATGGACCCTCTATGTGGATTTTATAGCCACAAGATTGATGACAAGAGAAATGACTGGGTCAAAGGAAAAGATGAATAGAGCCCCTGGGAAAATTGTCCAGGTGATAACCGAAGGCCTGGAAGGCTTGGAGTCCTAATGGTGATTGAGGTAAATGAGTGTAAGGAGTGATGGGTGAGTTCTGGCATTCTTTTAAGGGAAAGAGACAGTCATAGTCATGGTAGGGGTCTTATTCTCAGGATTGGTCTGTTGAGCAGTTTATACTGATCACAAGGGCAACACTATAGCTGAAGGGGTTGTGGGTTTACTAGGAGCACAATAAACTGTGAGTTCTCTCAAGTCCTGCTGCAGGAGGGGTAGACTAGGGGAGGGATGGTCTCACTGGGAAGATAGAGAGAGTTTGGTAGGGTTCTATTAGATCCACATATCAGCATGCCCCAGGGGGAGGGATAAAAAGTAAATCTTAAGTATGTAGGAGAGTGGTAGCTACTCAAACAGTGATGGGCAGAAGAATGTGTGCCCACACAGAGAACATAATAACTCTGTACAAGACTAGAAGAATTCATTGCTCTCAAAAAGGAAAAGAGAGACAAAGGATCTCAGAAGCCAGAAAGAAGATAAGGAGAGGGGAACAGAAGATAAAGAGATTCTTTTTTTTTTTTTTTTTTTTACAGTTTTTGGGGCTGGGTTTGAACCCGCCACCTCCGGTATATGAGGCCGGCACCCTACTCCTTTGAGCCACAGGTGCTGCCCCAGGTGGAGAGATTCTTATGCTGGTCAGGATAGTAAAGCTCTCTAGTAGCATCCAAAGGACATGGTTAGAAGGATGAAGCCTCCTGCTCTTCATCAATGAGAAATTTTATGTATTAAAAAACTCCTCCATTTGTCTTTAAAATATTCAGTATAGTCTCCTGTCCTCAATAGTATATTTGTGAATGGATCATCTATGATACTGGAAAGAGGCAAAGGTCAGTGTACAGGCAGAGGACATATACACGTATACTCCTAGGAAGTTAAAGAAATTTGGGAGAGAGTTTTGGATATAAACAGCTATAAAATTAAGGTATTACCATGCTAGCCCTATATCTAACAGGCCATTAGATAACGGTGGTCCCACCAATAACTATGTTACATAATAAAATAAATTCTTTCTGAAGGTCAGTTATCTGCTTTCTCTGCACACTCCTCTTTCATACCTAAGTCCACCTGTCCTTATAAGCACAATTGTTTAAAGGGTTGGGAAACACAGCAATACCTTAACTACATGAAGATCATGTATTTATTAATCCCTGGGGCAGGGTCCAATGGGAATGGGAACAAAAGAAGCATAGAAATCCGAAATTTCTTTTTAAAATCTGAATTCCCAGAAAAACATCCACCAATTTGTTCAACAAGTAGCAAAATGATTATCTACGTTCTGTCTACTTTTCTTTAATTTACTCAGTCTTAAAAAGTTGGAAGACAAAGAATAGAAAGAAAAAGAGCGTGAGTGGAAAATCAACCTAACAAGTTAAGAATTGTATGTTTATGTCATGAAATTCAACTTGTACCCCCTACATCTATTAAAATTTTAAAAAAAGAAAAATGAGTGTTCATAAAATAACTATTAGAGAATTGCTACTTTTCAGAAATTTACATTCCATACATTCAAGGTCTATGATATTTTAGACAGCGTTCAACAAGAATTGAGGAGAATAAGCTAGTCACCTTAACTAACTCCTAAGACCATCAGAGTCTTCCATTATAGACCTTCAGCTCAAAACCCAGAAAACTCAAATTAGATGCAAAGCTATAATTATTATAGAAAACTGAATTATAATTATCCTGGCATTCACCCATAAAAATAGTCCCCAAGTCTATTTTTTAAATTGAAAACAAACCAGGGTCTCTAAGCATATCTACAACCCATCTTGGTATGCTAGTTTCATTTAAGCCAAATTTGCATTTATTACTTAATCACAGTGCTGAACCAGTTCTTTACCAAGAGGAAACAAATTAATTCTGGGCTCCTAAAGAAAGAACCTAGTAGATCTCTTATTTCTGATAGATAATAAAGCTGCAATCAACTGAGATCAAATAAGCACAGTATCCATTTTAAGTTACTGGCATAATTCCAACCAGGAAAAGTACATTTTTATCTTTGAAGAACAAACACACACACCACACACATACACACACACAGAGTCTCTCATATCTTCTATCTTCCAAAATAGAGGCGAAGCAAGACTCTGAATTTGTTTTCACCTCATAGTAAAATAATTGAGAGCATACCCAGGATGTCAAAACTCTAGGTGCAGATGTCCAGGAAGGATAGCTAAGGTCCATGCAAAGTTTTTTAAAATGACATTCTATTTTGAAATAAGCAAAAAATAAATTATGGATTTTATGCTTGAAGATAATGAACACCTGCCTATGTGATATGATTTGAAATTACACTACATAAAGCCTCTCAACTCAGAAATGTTTTCGCTGTATACATCAAAGACTGAAGCCCAGATTTCCAGTATTTGAGATGAATTCATATAGATTCCAACAATGTCCTCTGTTAAAATACATTGGAGTATGCATATATATGTATGGTGTGTATATGTGTGTGTGTGTGTGTATATATATATATATATAAATATATATATATATATGAGTTGACTTGCCACCCTAAAATTCACATTGAGGTCCTAACCAACAGTACTTCAGAAAGTGGCCTTATTTGGAGATAAACTCATTGTAGATATAATTAGTAAGATGAGGTCATTAGGGTGACTCTAATCCAATATGACTGGTATTCTTATAAAAGGGGAAATTTGGACACAGAGACAAACACACAATTGTTATCACAATCCTATGGAATGAGAAGAAAGGGACTTCTATTATTAATGATGCCCCTGAGCAGGGAGCCAGTTTGATTGAGAGGGTGTCAGGGTGGAGTTAAAGAAGGGAATTGAAATCACAGCACTTTCTTGTCAAAGGTAGCAAGAGCTGAAAGAGTATTCAACAAGAAGTCAGGAGACCAGAGTATATCTACCCCTTCTAAGAATCAGATTGCTTATCTGAAAAATAAGTAGGCTGAGTGTAATGATCTCTAATCACTTCAAAACAACTTCTGTGAAGTAAAGGAGGGCTAGCTAGAAGTTTAGGATCAGCCACAAGGGCTAGGAAGTGAGGAAGCAACATGTCACGAATGATGGTCATAAACCACTGATGAAGAATAGAGTTCCCAGGAAGCACTAAAAAAGTATTGCCATAATTTTAATTATACCGAAATGTGTTGAAAAGTACTTCTACAGTGAAATCATAGTTTTATGCCTCAAGTGTAAGGGAACCATAAATAGAAACAGAGAGAGAAGAATCCTGGGTTCACATTGTGTCATTGCTTTCTGCAAATTTAACCTTTAAAAAACAGAAAAGAAGAATCATTGCTTACGGAAATGATTTCTTAAAACAAAAAGGATAATTAGTAGTGTTGATGGATTTCCTGGCAAACGAAAAATGCTGACTTTACTTTTCTGCTTACAGCACTAGCATTGAAATGATTATAGTAAAATTCATTTACTCCTTTATTGAGCAGATATCTATATGGTACCTAGTAGGTGCCCCTATTGGTTGAGAGAAGAGAAACAATGGTGAAAAAGATACCTCTAAGGCTGGGCACAGTGGTTCACATCTGTAATCCTAGTACTCTGGGAGGCCACAACAGGATTGCTTGAGCTCAGGAGTTCCAGATCAGCCTGAGCAAAATCAAAACCCCATTTCTACTAAAAATCGAAAAACTAGCCAGGCATTGTGGCAGGCGTCTGTAGTCCCAGCTACTTGGGAGGCTGAGGCAAGAGGATTGCTCAAACCCAAGAGTTTGAGGTTGCTGTGAGCTATGACACCACAGTACTCTACCCAAGCTGACAAAGTAAGACTGTGTTTCTTGATTATTGTGTATCTCAAAATGTTCTTAATGATCCACATATCTGTGTATGGCTATAACAGTTCTGATGTTCTCTTCAAATTCCATCTTGCATATTTCATCATCAAAAGATCCTGGTGTGTGGCACACCTTCTGGGGGCAAGACACGATTGTTAAGAGGGACTTTACCTAACAAATGCAATCAGTGAAACCTGGTTTCTTGTATCCTCAATGAATCCCCAACAATAAATTAAAAAACAAAAAAAGATGATTAGTAATAGGATACTTAAATGGATCAAAGGGATTTGCTGAAAGTGAGTGATTTAGGGGTTCACATGATGGTTTGCTTTTTTTTACCCCGAAGAGGCACTATGATTTTCCAACTCATATCATACAAAACTCCAAACTATAATAGCCCAAGCTTAGAATATTGTATTCTTACCTGGTAAGGAACAATACTGCCATGAGCTGTGCCCCAACGTTTGGCTTCCTTTTGGCCAATAAGATAATTAGCAGCTACATGGGTCAAACATGCCACCTACCAGAAAATAAAAGAAAGAAAACTGAATCACTAGTTTATCTGTACTCATAAATATAATATTATAATATGAAATTTCATTTCATGCCATTATAGAAATGACAGGCATCTGTACTCTCATCATATGAATGAGGGGCAATATTACATAACTGCATGAGACTAAGTAATGGTTAATTGAGAAAGACAAATACATAAATATTTAGCTTTTACAAAGATCATCTGAAGGCAGAGGTAGAACAAGATAAAAACTTAGTCCAGCCTTTAGCATCAAAGCCATAGCAAATACATCAGCAACTTGTACATTTCTTTTTTATTTTTTTTTAATTTTTTTTAAATTTCAGATTAATTTGAGAATACAAAAGATTAGGTTACAATGTTTGCATTTGTTAGGTAAAATACCTGTTTCAGTTGTGCACCACACCCCAGGAGGTGTGCCATTTACCCTTACATTGTGCTCATTAGGTGGGAGCCCACCAATCTCTCCCCTCCTCCTTCAACCTGCCCTCTTCCCCTACCTTGAACTGAATTGAGTTTTTCTCCTGTGGGGGGCATATACATTTCTTTTTCCTCTGCACCTATCTCACTTTACTTTTCGACAAGATGACACAAAGAGAGTCTGTTTTACCACCAAGTAAGTAAACCAAAGCTACATTTCTCTAAATTTTTCATGTCATAAAAAAGTAATAATAATAAACCTCTATTTTGTTTAAATCAACTTAGTCAGGTTTTCTGTTATTGCTGCCCAAAGCATTCTGACATGGAGGATCAAGATTATTTGACATTGTTTTTATTCATTAGTGAATCATCCTAATTTAAACAAAAATGACTATACCTCTCCCCAACGTGGTCCTAGCCCTGTACCCTCATTATTATATTTCAATTCAGATTTTGATCTATTAAAAGGGTTATCCAAAACTTTAGGGTCAACTTCTGACTCTTAAAGTACTTTATATACAGATTTTTAAAAACGTACAATACTTCAACTCCACCTGAGAATAATGACTTGATTCCTATTAGTCTTCCACAAAGATATTCCAATGAATACTTAAGTCTCCAGGGTCCAGAACTACAAAAAGGAGGTGACAAAAAGACTTTCCATAGTTTCCAGGAAAAAAAAAAAAAGCTTCTAGCCTCATGTCATAATTCTGACACATCATGGGTTTGCTTTTCCCTTTCTAGTTTATCAGATCTATTTGTGAACCTACCAAGCCAATAATTCAAACATATCCCAAATTGAGATTGGCTCCTGGAACAACTCGAGGGGTGATTCAGGGCTTGATACTACAATATTTTATTGCCCTCTCCCTGGCACAGCAGTCGTGCTTCCTATAAAGGATATGAATAGGACCTAGCCTGGATGATCTCCTTGCTGTAGTAACCATTCCCCTTTACTTTCTTCTTGGGATGTACACTCACTTTTATGCTCATTTACTGCTCTGTCGAAATTGGAACTGCCTTGTGGCAGCTGGTTTGGATGTACTGCCCAGGTGGCAAAACTAATAAACTTTGAGTCATCCACTTCTGGACTTCCATCTGGTCTTGAGCATTTGAACCACAGAGCACTCCAGGGCTGCCCCGGGCTGCCTGGTGCTAATCGCCATTTCACAGATCACTTCTGTGTCTTTCAAATTGCAAAATCAAATCAACATTTTGTAGTCAAAATGCCCTGAATGGGAAGTCCAGGCATGGATGGTTGAAACCTGGATGGTTTCTAATTTCTGTCAACTTCTAAGCACTTGTGTAATTGTGGATATACAATTTAACTACTTTGACCTTCAGATACATTTTCTATAAAGTCTTTGGCATTTGAGCTAATTGAAAGGTTTTCTAACTTATTTTTAAAAATCAGAACTCTTGTATCCAACTAAAAATACTTGGAATCCTAATATATAAGTAACAATATCCCAAGTGTTCAGGCAACATGATTCAGAGCACAATTTGAAAAATAACCTTAAATTTGTTTCCAAGGCAGATTTGGTCTACACTTCTGATTCTATTTTATTCCTCTTAACAGTCTGGCAGATAAAAAGACATGAAGGATGCAATAGTGGTCATTTTCCCATGACGCCTCTTCCTGAAATTTGGGAAATTTTCTGAAGTCTGAGGTCTTTTCTGTGAGAGAGGTACTTCTTTGATCTAGCTATTTTGTGGTTCTTTTTATTTTTTTTCTTTCAAATAAATTCTGGTGACAGCCACTCTCTAAAAGGCTTTGGTGCTACTAAAGGTCAAAAATTCTAATTAATAATGGTTTTTCTTGCAAGCAATTACTCCAAAGAGGCTTGGTAGTTCTACTTTTCTCTTTTCAAAGTAAATTGGATAGTCAGTGGACCACCATCAGCAAGGGCTTGCATCACAGGCAGCTGATCACAGGCTAACCTGGAAACCATAAATTGACCTAAAGTAGTTGCCTGGGAGAGATAAGAACTGGATTCTAGGATGGATATCAGCCTTCCTACTTCATTTCTAAGACACTGTCTTAGTCTTAATCTTTCTTTTCAATTTTTGTCTTCTGTGTTTCTGACCCTGCCCTACCTCCAGTGAGCTTGAATGAAATGTCCAAATTCATCTCTCAAACTGTTTCTATATAGAATACAATACTCTTTTCCTCCATACAGTGATAACTCATGAAACAAAAAGCCCTTCAGAATTAGAAGGCTCCCACTGGGCAGAAGGGTTAAATAAAATTGTAAGTGAGTTGCCATCAAAAAAAACAGTGTGATTTGTCAGTAACTACTCAAAGGCCGAGCTGGGGTTGGGGGGAAGAATTCTATTTTAAAAAAGAAAGCAACAGGGCTAAACTTAGCAACTCAATGTTTAAAGGGGGCATTACAAATCTGACAGTAGTCTACTATTTACAAGGATATATTTTAAGGCAAGAAAAGGGAGAGAAAGTCTATAGCTATGACATGATTATGTATGAAAAATCAGAGGTTTCCTGGGCAATTAATGACAAATTTTCCAAAAATTAAAAGAATGCAGGATGTGACTTTTAGGTTAATAACTACATACTGTATATTCATTCTAAATATTGCATTAGATCATTACTTTTATCTCTAAACTTAGGCTCATTATTTCATCAACTGGATGCCATATAATTTACTCAGAATGTTGCCTTTATATGGCTTCATCTAAACAAAAAGGCCAACTTTGGTTTAATAATAATCATTCTGACAGCAAAACTATTATTTTAGATAACATAGTGGGCCCTGATATTCTTTGTGTCTAACCAGAAAACCAATGGGGTGGTCAAAATGGATCTCAAAGAAAACAGCACCAAAAGGACTGAAGAAGAATATGCCCAATTATTACTGAAAGCAGCCCCATGGTGTCTGTCACCACATGTTCTAGTTCTACCAAATAAGGATAGAGCTTCAATAATAGAATCTTTCATCTCCAAAGGACTACCATGTATTAAAGGTGAAAAAGGTGAAAACAATGAACTTTGATCCACTGCACTATTACCACTGAATTTTTTCTGCATGTATTCTGGCCTCCACATAAACTGGATTAAACACCAACCATGCAACTATCTCAACTCATTCTTCAATGTTCATTTGAACATCACCATATCCACTAATCCCTCCACCCCAGCACACAGCAAGGAAATATTTCCTCTACCTCTGAATGGATACATTTACCTGACATAATTTGCCTGACATAGTTTACTTGACTTCTGCTGCACTTTTACAGTCTTCCTTGTGAATTGTAAGATATCAAAGCAAGAGGATCTAGGTCAGAACTTCCTAAACCTAGTCATGTATCACAATCACCTAGAGAATATTTGGACCCCACCCCATACCTACTACATCCAATTTTTTAAGGATGGAAAGCTGAGGGAGTAAGTACTTTAACTAGTGTAGCTTTAATTGCCCAGCAGATTTTAGAACCAAAGCCTTAAGAGAGTCTAGTACAACCCATTAATACACAGATGGATAGACAAAGAAACAGAGAAGGGAAATAACTTATCTAAGGTCACACAGAACTTTAAGCTATTCTAACTATAGTGTCTTCCCCTATTCTTCAATACTGCTTATATTATCTCCTATCCCTCCTCTTAAACTAGAAGATATTTCAGGGCAAGAACTATGATTATAAACTCTTGGTATTTTTCTCATAGCACCTAACATAAAGCCTGGATACTAATTTTTTTATCAAATTGAATGAAAATGGTAAGTTACTACTTATTTATTCAACAAACACTTAATGCGGCTATGTATAAGGCATTATGTTAGGTACCAGGTATATATAAGTAAATGAAAAAGATACAGTCCTGCCCCTTTTGGACTTAAGAATAGTGGAGAAGAAGATAACTAAACAAACAATTATAGTAATCTGCCATAGGGAGAGGAAATAGAGAACTTTGTAAAACAAAAAGAATAACATGTGGGAGTTCTAAGGCAGGAAAGAAGTTGACATACAGAAAGAAAAAAAATAACTGAAAATAGACCACTGACTATAATTGAAGCATGGTAAGAAAGAGACATGAAATGAAATGAGAGAGGCTGCCAGAGACCAGATCATGCCAGACTGCGTAGGTCACAGTAAGTAGCCATTACCACAATGATCATTTTAAAGTCATCAATCATATCTCATGCTGTCCTTCTATTCAGGGCTTCCCACTGAATTTGCAACTATATTCAAAGAGAGGAAAGAGAAAAAGAAGACTGTTATGGATACTGCCCAAGTCCAGGCATAAGTGATGAGAGTGCAAACTAGGTTGGTGGCAGTGGACATGAAGAAATTCATGAATTTAAGGCATATTTTAATGTACACTTTAAGAAACGGCAGAATGTATGAACAACTGTATGGGGAAGAGGATGAAGTTCAAATGGTGAAGGAAAGGAAGGACCAAACATGACTCCCATAGTCCTGGCTGAATATCTGAGTAAACTATGATGGCATTTATATAAATAAGGAAGACAGAAAGAAATGATTGAAGGGGAAAGAAACTAAGAGTCCACCTCTGAATATGTTGAATTTAAGATAAGGTCTCATAAGAT